TTTTGTTTTGAAAGTATGGTAAAAACTGGTAAAATGTACCAACAATCACATTTAAAAAATATACACTTTTTGATATACCATTAAAAAAAAAAAAACAGGTAGCCCATCTGAATTAGGACATTTAGGCTATCCATCTAATAGTAGCCTACCAAAATCTTATGAACAGTAGAAGTTAAATCTTACTGTAATCTTCAAATCTGGGTACTGTCTTACGTTTTAAAATCACAAAGAGAGTTTGGTCCCATCAGGCTAACGTGACAGTCACGACTCATGCAGCTGTAAGACTTTCTTTTTCTTTTGTTTTACTCGCGATCTTTACAACACGCATTACATTACATATTTCATGGCACACTCGTTTTATGCGTATTTGGCGCCACCTAGTGTTGTGGGTGTATTATTGACATGTCAAAGTCTAGACCCTGAATATAAGACAACCGCGTTTTTTCAGATGTATTTCCAAGAAAAAAACATCGTCTTATATTCGGGACAATACGGTACGTGCAGGGCCAAAGTAAACCGTGGGGAAACCACAGGGCTCGATTAACTTGTCTGGGACAAGTAGATTCATTAAAAGGCAAGTGAGAGAGAATTTTACTTGCCCGACCGGACAAGAAGCCGGATTAAAATGTCAATAACAAACGTAGCTAGGGAAGCACTGAAACTTGGCCACCAAAAACAGCACTCACAGAAAGTTATAGATTCATGCATTAAAAAAAATAAAAGATATTTATAATATATGATAAGCAACATTACACGACCAAATGTTTCCCCGAATATCAGCATGATTGCAATATGACACTGATTTTATACAATAGTAGTTCAATAAACAAGACGTTTAAATTAAGTGACTTACATTTTAGACACAATATTGACTTCGCAAAGAAATTAGTTCCAATCAAAGCCACAGCAGAACTGTTGTGTCTCCCGGCAACACACAGCTGTGTTTCGTTACTGAATGAATCCACATGTTTGAACAAATCGAGTAAGTCAATGACTCAGTAACCCATTCATAAAGACAGTCACTTGCCTCATTACTGAATGAATCAGCCATTTGAATGAATCGGTTGAATGAATTAATAAATGACTCACTCATTAAAACAGCCACTGCCACCTCCTACTGATGATTTGGTTTCATATTTAAAATTATCATTGCATTTTTCCCATAATTTCTTATTTGTATGTTCAAAAAATTATTTAAAACATTAGTCTTATAAAAGTATTTATGCATTTGCAATTTTGCGGTTTATGGCACCTCAGCTTCATCAAACAGTCTGTATAAACACATCTAATGCCACTTCAGATGCAGCTTCTGTGTGTCCTGCAGCGGAAAGATGCTGTTTGTTGATGAATGGTAACAACTCTACAGTTTCTTATTACTCTAACTGAATTAATTGAAACAATGTAAGAATTTGATGTGAAAGATGACGCATTAAATAAGGTTAGGGGAAAAAATGACCATTTATAAACACAGTGGGAAAGGATTTCCTTATATACACCAACTCATTTTCAGTTAATTGTTATTTCTACCTCTTTCCGGTCACAGAGCACTTTATTTTGAGAGTTGTTTAAGTGAGGGAACATCTGTAACAGTCCAGATTGGGGGAATTGTGATGTTTAATAATTTTTTTTTTATTATGTAAATGTATTACTATTATTTGCATTGAAAAAAAATGTTTGTATATGCTGTCAATTATAGTTCTTAGAAAGAAAATCAGAATCTGCAAAAATCGGTATCGCCAGGTCATCTCTAGTAAACAATCGGTGCATCTCTAGTAAACAAAGTCTGAGTAATACATAACTTTTTTTTTTTCAGCTGAAAAAAGAAAAGAAGAAAGTACCTTCTACCCATTATCCTTTTCATGTCTCTTCCTCACAGAAAGGGCATGATGAAGAGTGAAGCTCTCACATGGATATTTCTGAAAGGCTTGCTCAGTGTGCCAGTGATTTCATTATCTGTAGATCTGTAGAATAAAATGAATGTGCAAGTAAATCCCTGCTTCTCTGCTATTGATGTTGTTTTAACATGATGCCATTGCATTCACCTTCAATACACTGGGTGAAATTATACTACTTTAGAGGAGCCATTTATTCAAGATTTTAGAGTAATTACCATCTATTGAAGAAAATGCTTGAAAATCAAGGACATAAAATAAAAACCAAGCATATTAAATAGATTAAACAAAAGTAGAAGCTTTGTTATCTTACAGTAGAAAACATGCTTTTTACTATTTTACTTTTACTTAGCATTTCTGAGTTTTTATTTTATTTAACTTTTTAAAACATTAAATGTGATTATATAAAGTATGACAAAAGGCACAAGAGGTTGCTCTTCCATTTAGTTATATTGTTAATATGGTTCTGTTCCATCTACATTTACTGATTAAATGATTGAATTGAAAGCACTGAATGAAAGATAGATTGAAGATTGAAAAATTAAAAGGGAAAGCTTACCTTTCAATTGGAAGAACATAATCTACCTCATTTGGAATGTCTCAGGTTAGATTCCTTGCTCACAGTATGTGGGTCAAAGACATTAAGACGTCCGCATCAAAATAAATGTACAAAAGTGATTTTATGTCCATAGAAAGCACACTGAATGACATTTTAGTGGGTCTCTTCTGTAAATCAGGGAAAAATGTATGACATTTATGTTTTGCTCAGAAAAACAAAAACAAAATTGCAATTAAATTAAACATTTTTTGGGGGGAAAAACAACAATTTAAAGCAGTATTACACTTACTGCTTTTATGCTTAAACCCTTTTTCGTCTTTGACCCATGTATATTTGTAACACATTTGTATGTTTTTTTTTTTAAGAAGCTCTGCTAGACAGTAATGTCATGTACTGATGACACTGCAAAATCTAACATTTCTAACCATAAACAGAACAGCTCCGAGGTTCCTGGAGTCCTTGTATCTGAAAAAGGCAAAGCCTTGTGACACACTTGTAATTACCAAATTAATCTTTACTTACTAAGGTAATTTAGGGCAAAACATCTGTGTGTGTGTGTGTGTGTGTGTGTGTGCTGGGAAATAGATGTAATTCAAGGTGATGAGCAGGTCAATGATAGGCAGATGATTGAAGGTGAAGTCAACCCTGAACAGCTGAGAATGGAGAAGTGAAGGGGAGGAAACCAACTATGCTGTCACTTTAAATGATACCATATTGGATTTATGTTATTTTAAGGATTCAACAGCTGAATCTTTAACTGACAGTTTTTACAGGTGATGGTGGAAACGCGGTCAAGCAAGCAGGCTGGTCCTCTTTACATAACTGTGGCAAAATCTTTAACTTTGCCTTATTGGATTTGAGGACAAATGGTTTGTGAATATGTGGACAATTTGAATTGCCATAATTTCTAATTAGTAATATTTCCTAGAAGTAGCAAAAAAAGAGAGAAAAAAACTGACATTTAATCTGTATAAAAGAAAGCTAATAATAAAATCCACCTTGTGACCAGCAGCACATTGTTCTCCCTCTGTTGGACATGTAACTTCAGTAGGCAATGCAACCAACAAGTGTGCCAACATCTATAACTAGATGCTCTTATTTATGTGTATGGAGCCCTTTACAAAGACAGCACCTGCTTCACCCCAGATCTCAACATGTGGGCCGAGCTGTCCTCAATCGGCCAGAAGCACTCAGAAAGAATTTCACACGGTTATCTTTACACTCAAGGGCAAACGGAAAGAAAAATAAGTGTCACAGAAGCCGAGGTAAAGGTATATCTTGTTGTTTGATTGGCGCCAACAGGTTCAGTTAATCGTCCAAAGGTAAAATCCAATTTCTCCAGTTTATGCTTTGAATTCCAAAACACAACACATTTTATTCAATATCCAAAAAATAGTACTGTTTTTTTTAGTCTGCATTTCATAAGCATAATTACACTCAAGTGTGTCCATTTGTAAATCCTTAAAGAATCTCACAAGGAGATCTTAGGAAGTGCCTTCAGTGGGTTTCATAATTAACACCCTTCAGACTATTAGACACTATGGCAGCAGGTGTGAGGTGGCGAGTTATTAACACTCATCGCACACTTCTTGTTCCTCCTTGTTAGTCTGAGCGTCATGACCCGACTTGTCAGCTTGCAGGTCTTAAGGTTACAATAGTGCACGGCTGTCAGTCTGCTGCTGCTCTGCAAGATGCTGCTTATCTGTATCAAGTGTTCAGTTGTATAAGATAATTTTACAGGTCCCAAACCTGATTACATTTTTGTACCCAAAATGAATTGAGTATATATAAGAGCAGTGACTGCCTTTAGCTATGAACAGAATGCCTACAGAGAGGTCACTTGCTCTCAGTCAATGGATGTAGTCAGGTAGATCATGCAAGCTGTGCCTCACAATCAAGGAGAAGCACTCAACAGGAATGTCACAGGGATATCTGTATGCTCAAGTGTACAGGGAAGAAGACAAATGCTCCATCACTGGTACAGCACAAACTGAAATATTCACACCAGGTAGACACCGACCTTGACCAGGCCTGTCCAATAACTGTTAAACAGGTGAGGCCTCTAGTGGAAACCAAAGGAACAGGCAGGGTCTATAGAATATATACAAGTGGCTTATCTAATCTCTCTAAAGACAAAATAAAATAAAATAATAAAATATGCCATTTGGAGACAGATACCTATTGGATTTCCCTATAAATATTTTAGATACATTTTGAGTTTTAATTTTCTTAATCTTAATAAATTCTTTAATGTGTTTCTGGTTAACAGACATTCAGTGGGTGAGTAAAATTATTTCTGGTTTATATGATAATATGTATGAATGTTTCTTACAACCATTTTTGAAACGATTACCATTATACGATTTCGAAACCATTATTAACCTGACATGAGTGACCTATAATACCACATTAAATCCCCCCCCCACTTTTCCCCAGCATACCCAACCCATCCTTCCTAACCAAACTGAGCGAGCAGGTCGCTTTGTGTGATGCCAACAACCATATTTAGAGGAACAATTGCATTATAAAAGGAGGCATGACATGTTTTTCAATTGTGTCACTGTTATCTTTCCTTCTGTGCGGTAAGTTGAAGGGAGCTGTGATTCCTATTAGAAACTAACTTCAAAGTTGTAGTCAATGGACATAGTATCATAGACTTTACGACAGAAAGGAGGAATCGCATTGCCTGGTACTATTGTTTCTTATCTGAAGTGATTTGGGTTTGAGTATTTGGTGGTCAGTAGTAGAAATGAGACAATGGTGACATTTTCTTTCTTTTGTGTGGAACTAGAGCTTTGAACCATCTGTCTCTGAAGAAGAGTACTGCGAAAGTAAGTGGATTTTAGTCATACTTAAGGTAATGTTCATTTACTTAATAATTTGAAATAATTTACATAATTTGAAAACTGAATGCATACTGGTCATGTCACGTTATTAATTACAATTATGCCAAATAAAGTTTACTTGGAATCCAACAGATCGGTGAAAGATGGGGGATGCCCAGATGGCAGAGTTTGGACCTGCTGCTCCATTTCTCAGGAAGTCGGACATAGAGCGTCTGGAGGCCCAAACTCGCCCCTTTGACATGAAGAAAGAATGTTTCGTTCCTGATACTGCAGAGGAGTATCTTAAAGCATCTATTATTAGACGAGATGGTGATAAAGTCACCTGTGAGAATTCAAAGGGAACGGTAAGTTTTAATAAGCTTTAGCAGTGGCATTGTGAATAATTAGATGTATTTTAATTAATGCTGTAACTTTTTTATTATTTTATATATATATATATATATATATATACTGTATATATACAGTCAAACCAAAATTTATTCAGACACCTTCAACATTTCATACATTATCAGTTTATTCTCTATGGTTTAGAAAATGGTAATAAAATAAAGTTAAACTCTCAGAACAAATTGATCTTGATAATGTCAGATAACACTTAAGCAAAACATGGTCAGGTCAAAGTGTCTGAAAAATTTTTGGTCCAAAAGTTTTAGCAATTTTACTGGTAGTCCACTGTATGAAGAATTTTTGGGTATAAAATGTCAGTTTACTTTATTTTGCTATCTTCACTTACATAAATGAACTATAGTGTCCTGCACCCACTAGTAAAAAAATATCAAAAATTATATTTGGTGTCTGAATAATTTTTGGTTTGACTGTACTATATGCAAATAATATATTGTGATAAATGCACAGAAATTTAAAATGTATTATCAAAATACCAGTCCTGTATATAGAAACCACAGAGATTATACAGAATATTATAGGCCTATTCTAATGTAGTCGCATAAAAAAAGAAATTGTGACTCCATCCAGTCTTATCTAATAAATAAACTCAGAAAGCCACAAAATAAATTGGCTCATAAAAAAATTAAAAACTAGCTGAGCTGCTCATTAGTACATTTCCTTTCCGAATAGGCTTAAGCAGCGTTCAGTATTGCTCAGAAATGCAACTGCCTGCATCTTCTGTTGTTAGCTTGTGGCAATGAGTCAGCAGTTTATGCTATTTAGCCTGACTGAATGCATTTTTACTGGTTACGGAAAGTCATTTGAATGATATAGTTAGAAATGCAAGAGCTAGAGGTAATGAAAAGCAAAAGCTCTGGCTTTTTTAAAAGGAGGCAGGGGAAAAAGCATTTTGAAGGATTGGCCATGGACAATAGACTTAATTGATTTGTTTGTATGGTTTCACTCCTTTTGGTTTGTTTACTTTGCATCAGGGGCATGCAGATGACAAAGAGAGGAAGGAGAAAGAGAGAGGGGATGGTTTTAAATATGGAATGAGAGTAGCTTTCCTCTGGCTGAAATGACCCAGTGGAACTGACCTGATTTTCACTCGCCCCAAAAGGCCCTGAATTCCAACTAGACAAACACCCTGCTATATATATATATATATATATATATATATATATATATACACACACACACACACAGAAAGAAAGCCATTAAAATTATACAATTTCTTCTAGGCAAGTCTGAGTGAACTGCGGTGCTAGTAGGTTGACTTAGTTCAGAATAAGTATTTGGATAATTACAGTTGAGAAAATAATAATAATAATAGTAATAATACATACATGCATGCATACATTTTCTAAAATCATCTTTGTCTTGAGTTTGTTTTTTTTATTAAAATTGCCCCACAATCTAATGAATTCTAATTATGTAACTATTATTTTCATTTGTAAGTTGCTATGGATAAAACTATATGCTAAATAAAACATAAATGAAAGCAATCCTGATGGTGTGCAAAAATAAAAAATAATGTACTGACACTGTGACACTGGTTTGACTGTCAAAAACCTGATGTTCCCACAGACAGTAACTGTGAAAGAAGATGATGTTCATCCTCAGAACCCGCCAAAGTTTGATAAAATTGAGGACATGGCGATGTTCACCTTCCTGCACGAGCCCGCTGTGCTGTTTAACCTCAAAGAGCGTTACGCAGCCTGGATGATCTACGTGAGTCTTAAAACACTCACACATTCACTTTATCACGTATGAGCAGATCTGAAGCTGCTGTCAATCTCTTACAGACCTACTCTGGGCTCTTCTGTGTCACTGTGAACCCCTACAAGTGGCTGCCAGTGTACAACCAGGAAGTCGTCGTTGCCTACAGAGGAAAGAAACGAACTGAGGCTCCTCCACACATATTTTCCATCTCAGACAACGCCTACCAGTACATGCTGTCAGGTGCGTCTACTTGATATATCCAAAATAGTTTACAATAAGGGCAAATTCCTAATGGCCTTTTTGCACCCTTGAAGGACACTTTGGGAAGAAGGGGCCATTTGTAGGGGCATTCCAAACTAATGTGTACACCTGAATCCCTTCACGAAGGGCCCTTCCACAAGTCTGTTAGTGAAGGGTACATGTGATGGTAACTTAAAGGAAGTAATTTTATTGTTTATGGTCATGTGACCCAGGGTGGCGTGTCCTTGTGATTCATTTTAAAGCTAGATATGGCAGGAGAGCCATATAAACAGAATAATTCTTATATATATATATATATATATATATGAAACACATTTTTGTCACGCATTTCATAGGAAGTTTAAATAAGTTTCATAATAAGAAATGTTTAATAGTACATACGTTAGGTAAATGTAACTATACCTGCATTATAAAATGCATATTTATTTGCAGCAAATAACAGCAATAATAAGATATTCCTGTTGTTGCTGCCTAGCATTGTCATGGTAACATTCCAGGTGAAGATGAGGAAATTACGTTGTCTTTCATTGTTCCCTTTGCCAAATGCATTCCAAATGGCTTCATTATGACACACAAGTGCCCTCCAAAGTCCCCACATCAAAGCTCACTTCCGACTGGAATTTGCCCCAGTTGTGCACACATACAGTATACTTCAATCCTCTATAGAAACTTGCTGGAATAAGAAACCGATATTCAAGCGATCCATTTAATAACAAAACATTATTCTATTTTGCAGACAGGGAAAACCAGTCAATTCTTATCACGTAAGACTATTTGCTTTTTATATAGATGCAAAATCTCAATAAGGCTGACAAGACAAAGTATGTCTGCCCTGTCTAAGACTGGTTTGTGTTGACAGTGGAGAATCTGGTGCTGGAAAGACTGTGAACACCAAGAGAGTCATTCAGTACTTTGCCAGCATTGCTGCTAGTCCTTCAAAGAAGGAGACCAGTGAAAAAAAGGTAAATTGGGGAGATCTGAATTAAAAATAAAATTATTGTACTGCCATTTTGTTTGATTGTCATTCACTGTCCACAATTTTCAAATGTTGTGTTTTTTAGGGTACTCTGGAGGATCAAATCATCCAGTGTAATCCTGCTCTAGAGGCCTTTGGTAATGCCAAGACCATCAGAAATGACAACTCATCTCGCTTTGTGAGTGGACACCACTTTAAGTTACAAATCATTTTCCTTTTTCCACTGCATTTAAAGACAATATCCCTTTCGAACAGGGCAAGTTTATCCGGATCCACTTTGCTGCTAGTGGCAAGCTAGCATCTGCTGATATTGAGACCTGTAAGAAAGATTTTTGATTATTTACTGGTTTGTCTTTTATGACTCCTACTCTGTGATATGTGTGTGTATCCACTTTAGGGACAAAGCATATTTTAGGGACAAATTTGCACCCAGAAGTGAGCTATATAGGGCATCTAGGAATGTCTTCATATGTAAAAAATAATATATAAAGTTGTTTTTTTAATTCTACAAATGCAGAAAGTTTTCTGTTAAGAGTTAGTTGAAAGACGATTAATATTAATAATTTATTTATTAGTGCTGTCAAGCAATTAATATTTTTAATCTAATTAATTACACAATGTAGCGATTAATTAATCGCAGGGCTCGCAAAATTTCAAAATCCCTGATAGCCCTTCGGGCAGGCATTCTTCAGGTTTTGGTAGCCCGAAATGAATTTAACTAGCCCGAATAAAAAAAAGACATCGGCTGAGCTTTACTGTGGACAAATTAGCATGATCAGCAAAAACTAGTTGCATATAGGGATGTAATGATTCACTAACCTTGAAATTCACAATACAGATTACATGATACAATTTTCTGACAATTTATTTATATATATATTTTTTTTTTACAAAATGAGATTTAAGACAAATTATAAATTAAAAGGTGTCTTTTTATTTATCTGCATATTTCTTTGTGAAATTGAAATGTTAAATAATAAAACTAACTTGAAATTTTAAAACAAATCCCAAATCAAATAAAAAAATATACAACTAAAAGATATCTCTTCATATAAACAAAGGCTTTGCCTGTGCTCTATTTAAAATCAGAGGCAACCACTGCATTTTAATTACTATCCAAAAAAGATGCTAAATACATGTTATTTGGATTGTATAATGTCAAAATTTGAAGCAAAAACAGAATGGTCCGATTTTAGCTTTGTGAATGAGACGCAAATGTCACTCTCTGACAGCAGGTGGCACTAATGGAACAGCAGGTATTTATAGGCTGCTGCCCCTTTAAGACCGAATGCACGTATCTAATATAATCATGCACAGGAGATTTTTTTCTTCACTGTTCACTTAAGACATAACCAACTGTGTTTACGAGAATACTTGCAGAGACAATTATTTTGAGATAATTTTGTGTGTATGTGTTCATTCAGAAGCAAGGATACGCGGAATGCGGCTCTCCGTGCGCGCTTTGAAAGAGTGCGCGCAGAAACCAGCACGCTAGCTCCGAATGCGCGCGAATGTTTTAAAACGCTTGAATGTTTAAATCAGCAAGACTTAGAAACAAGTAAACGATCAACTACGATCCGTTTCACCCCTACAAGCGAGTGAAAAACGCATCACTGTTCACTTAAGACATAACCAACTGTGTTTACGAGAATACTTGCAGAGACAATTATTTTGAGATAATTTTGTGTGTATGTGTTCATTCAGAAGCAAGGATACGCGGAATGCGGCTCTCCGTGCGCGCTTTGAAAGAGTGCGCGCAGAAACCAGCACGCTAGCTCCGAATGCGCGCGAATGTTTTAAAACGCTTGAATGTTTAAATCAGCAAGACTTAGAAACAAGTAAACGATCAACTACGATCCGTTTCACCCCTACAAGCGAGTGAAAAACGCAAATCAAGTTAGGAATTTTATATCACTATTCAAGATAGCCCGTCGGGCAGGGCGGTGATATATTTTGGTAGCCCGACTGGAAAACACAATAGCCTTGGGACGTCGGGCTAGCGATTTTGCGAGCCCTGGATCGAATTAAATTTAAAGTCATTAAATGAGAAAAGCATCAAACAGACATTACAAAAAGCCACTTTAGAAAGAAATATTTTATTGGATTAAACATAGAATGTTGACTTTCTTCTGTGGAATATAAAAGAAGATAATTTGAGCAATGTCTCAGTATTTTTTATTTTTTTTGTTCATACAATGGAAGTCAATGGTAACCAAAACAGTTTGGTTACCAACATTCTTCCAAATAACTTATTTTATGTTCCATGAAAGAAAGTCATACAGGTTTGAAATTACTTGACGGTGAGGAAATGATGACAGAATTTCATTTTTGGGTGAACTAACCCTTTAATGTTTTTATTATTATTATTATTATTAATATGGAAATATATATAAAAAAAAAAAAAAAATTAAATGAAAGTCTAAATAAGAAACTAAAACTGCCAGTAGGTGGCGGTAAATGTCTCAATGAGTCTTTGAGTCATTCATTCATTCAATTCGTTCAAACTGCTGATTCATTCAGAAACTGATATACAGTATATATATATATATACTGTTGTTCTTAAACAGGGCAAGTTCATTCGCATTCACTTTGCTGCCAGTGGAAAGCTTGCTTCTGCTGATATTGAGACTTGTAAGAAAAACATTTTCCTTTGTAAATCCTTTGTAACTTTTTCATTTTAAAGATGATGGTAAGATGCCGATGGTAAGAGCTTAACTTCTACATTTCTACAAACAGATCTTTTAGAGAAATCCCGTGTGACTTTCCAGCTCAAGGCTGAGAGAGACTACCACATCTTCTACCAGATCCTGTCTCAGAAGAAACCGGAACTATTAGGTGGGCAAAAAATATGTTAAAACCAAACAGCTATAATTTTGTTCATCAACATTTTACAACAAAAATGTGTAACACTTTATTTTAAGGTGTTCTTGTTACATATGTTACATGTACTTACTATTATAATAACAATTAATTATGCATAATTACATGCAAGTAACCCTAAACCAAACCGAGATTGTAACGAGTAATAATATTACCCAAATTTGATTAGTAATGCGTTATATTACTGCGTTACAGCAAAAAGTAATATACTACTGTAATATTATTACTTTTGTAATGCGTTACTCCCAACACTGGTACTTATATGTATAATTACATTGGAACAAGGACACCTTAAAATAAAGTGTAACCCAAAAATGTATTAAAACATGATGTCTAAGTGTCTTGTGTCTTTTCTCTCAGAGATGCTGCTGATCACAGCAAACCCTTATGATTACGCCTTCATCTCTCAAGGAGAGACACAGGTGGCCTCTATTGATGATGCTGACGAGCTGATGGCTACAGATGTGCGTTATCTGAAATAGCTATGAAATCTATTTAATAAATCTTGACATTGTCTTCTTAAGATGAGGCATTAATCATGAAAAATTTGCTGTAGGAAGCGTTTGATGTGTTGGGCTTCACCCAAGAGGAGAAGAACGGCATCTACAAGCTGATTGGTGCCATCATGCACTACGGCAACATGAAGTTCAAGCAGAAGCAACGCGAGGAACAGGCAGAGGCTGATGGGACTGAGGGTTGGTATCAGGAGAAAATGCTGACAGGATGCATACATAGATTCATTACAGTCAACCTTCTTTTTAATTCATGGCAGATGCTGATAAATCAGCTTATCTGATGGGCCTGAACTCTGCTGATCTCATCAAGGCTCTGTGCCACCCAAGAGTCAAAGTAGGGAATGAGTGGGTCACCAAGGGACAGAATGTCCAGCAGGTGGAGACTACTTTGTGATATCTTTAACATACTGTTTACAAAACAACCAAATGTCTATGCAGTGAGACTTACCCTTAATTTACTCAACTTATCCCACAAAAAGGTGTACTATGCCATTGGTGCTCTGTCAAAGTCAGTGTACGAGAAGATGTTCCTCTGGATGGTTGTGAGAATCAACCAATCCCTGGACACCAAACAGCCTCGCCAGTACTTCATTGGTGTGCTGGACATTGCTGGATTTGAGATCTTTGATGTAAGTATTTGATTTTGTTTCCTATTAGTCACGCTTCTGGATCTAGACACAATTCAGCTGTCACTAGTGAGTAAGGTTTCCAGGGTTGCTCAAGGGGACTGTCCATGGCATTATTTAATTGCAGATGTAGTGTATGGCTATGTATGCCTTGAAAGTCCAATTTCACTGGACCGTTATATGATGATAAACAATGTATTAGATTGTACATTATCATAATTAACTGATATCCAAATTACCTAAATGTACAATTATAGATTATATAATTCTAATGCATAGTTACAGACCCATGAGCTGGTTTGGCACAAGTTTCTTTCCTGTCTTTTTTATAGCCAATAAACTTTAGTTTTAGTTTATCCCAATTTTCTACCAGCTACCGCTGTTCATGGAAGGTGGAAATAGGGGGAGGGGATGCTCTTATAGAAAGTGTATTATTGGGAAAAACATTGTACTGTACATACTTGTCTAAATAAAACTTGCCAAGATTATTTTTGATCCATTAATCTAGAACTTTTCCTTTTAAATTGTGCATGTTTGATTAAAGTTTATTTAGTCATTTTTCAGGAGTACATTGGCAATTGGATAGTATGGAAATACATTTTACAGATAAATTTGCATAAATTGTGACATTCCATTAAAAAATAACAATGTGTCACTCTGTGGCTATATGTTTTATACCCATGTTGAAAACACTGTTAATCTATTCTAGTTCAACACCTTTGAGCAGATGTGCATCAACTTCACTAATGAGAAGTTGCAGCAGTTCTTCAACCATCACATGTTTGTGTTGGAGCAAGAGGAATACAAGAAGGAGGGCATTGAATGGGTGTTCATTGACTTTGGCATGGACTTGCAGGCTTGTATTGATCTCATTGAAAAGGTAAGTTTTTAAATTTGAGAGATATCAGGTATTGGATCAACAATTCTCAGCTAATTTGAAACTCCTTTCTCTATTGTTTGCTAGCCCATGGGTATCATGTCCATTCTTGAAGAGGAGTGCATGTTCCCCAAAGCCAGTGATGCAACATTCAAAGCTAAGCTTTATGATAACCATTTGGGCAAAAGTGCTAACTTCCAGAAGCCCAGGATTGTCAAGGGTAAACCAGAGGCGCATTTCTCCCTGGTTCACTACGCTGGCACTGTTGACTACAACATCAATAACTGGCTGGTGAAGAACAAGGATCCTCTTAATGAGACGGTTGTTGGCCTGTATCAGAAATCCACCATGAAACTTCTTTCTAACCTATTTGCTAATTATGCTAGTGCTGACTCAGGTGTGTTGTGTTGTCAAAGGGGGGGGGAAATCCTTGCGACAAATAAGGTTTTAATGCAAGGTTCATTTAAAAAAAATGTTTCTTTCAACAGCCGCGGAGGGAGGAGGTGGCAAAGCAAAGGAGAAGAAGAAAAAGGGCTCTTCTTTCCAGACAGTGTCTGCTCTTCACCGGGTAACATATAGTGTTTTTCACACTAAAAATTATTACTATAATATATTATGATTTGGCTTCTTAATCTTTTTAAACAGCGTGACAACCTAAAATATGTTGACAGAGTGATGGATAATATCTATCCACAGGAGAACCTGAACAAGCTGATGACCAACTTGAGGTCAACTCACCCTCACTTTGTGCGCTGCATCATCCCCAATGAGACTAAGACTCCTGGGGCGATGGAGAATCCTCTGGTCATGCACCAGCTGCGCTGTAACGGTGTGCTGGAGGGCATCAGAATCTGCAGAAAGGGCTTCCCCAACAGGATCCTGTATGGAGATTTCAAGCAAAGGTACATTCACTTATGAATACAAGTCACACTTGGGTCAAAAACTTACTGACTTTCTGGTCAAAAATGCAATCAGAGTCAATATGCAATATTTAATATTTCTCATTCAAAATTGTTTCTTATTTGGTTTGCCAAAAACAATTATTATCTAATTTATGGAATAACAGATATCGTATCCTGAACCCTGCTGCCATTCCAGAGGGTCAGTTCATTGACAGCAGGAAAGGAGCTGAGAAGTTATTGGGCTCTTTGGACATTGACCACAACCAGTACAAGTTTGGACATACCAAGGTACCCTAAAAAAAATTTCTAGTTTAGTTTATTTATTATATGAAAAAAAAAAACATTACAAAAACACTGGACAATTAAATAATGTGACATTGGCATGCATAGAATGATCACTTTCATAATTTAAGGCTGAAAATTAAGAGACCCTTTTTATTCCCCAAGGTGTTCTTCAAGGCTGGTCTTCTGGGTACTCTTGAAGAGATGCGAGATGACCGTCTTGCTCTCATCATTACTGGTATTCAAGCAAGAGCTCGTGGTCTTCTCTCAAGAATTGAGTTCCAGAAGATTGTTGATCGCAGGTAAAGCTTTAAGCAATAATTACCAGAAGAATGCCACTGGTATACTTCATATGATGTATATGAACTAATTTTGTGTCATATTGCAGAGATGCCTTGCTTGTGATCCAGTGGAACATACGTGCCTTCATGGGTGTCAAGAATTGGCCCTGGATGAAGCTCTACTTCAAGATCAAACCGCTGCTAAGATCTGCTGAAGCAGAGAAAGAAATGGCAAACATGAAGGAAGAATTCCTGAAGTTGAAGGAGGCTTACGCCAAATCTGAAGCTCGCAGAAAGGAGCTTGAAGAAAAGATGGTTTCTCTTCTCCAAGAGAAGAACGACCTGCAACTTCAAGTCCAAACTGTAAGTTTATGATTTAATGAATAATTAATAAAATGTATAATTAAAATTTAGAGTTGCAAAGACATTAAAATTAATGCAAAGAATTTTCTGCATCTGTGAACACTAGATGACCTCCAGAGTGAGGAAGACAAAGTCAACACTCTCACCAAAGCCAAAGCCAAGCTGGAGCAACAAGTGGATGATGTGAGTGGTTTGTTGATATTTATGATGTAAATGAACCATGATGGGAAAAAAAAGATAAATAAAATACTCTGTGTTATTGTCCTTCCAGCTTGAGGGTTCCCTGGAACAGGAAAAGAAGCTTCGTATGGATCTGGAGAGGGCAAAGAGGAAGCTTGAGGGAGACTTAAAGTTGACCCAAGAGAGCGTGATGGACCTGGAAAATGACAAACAACAACTGGAAGAGAGGATTAAAAAGTGTGTTTTCCAGGGGGTGAAATAATTTTACCACAATACTAATAACAATCAGAGTCCTTATTGATATATTTTATTAAATATTTTCTGCAACACAGGAAAGATTTTGAGATCAGCCAGCTCAATAGCAAGATTGAAGATGAACTGGCAATGGCAGCCCAACTCCAGAAGAAACTGAAGGAGTTGCAGGTAAAATTCATCATTCTTAATAGTTTACATATTTGGACCGTTAGGAATTCTAGCTTTAACTTTGATTTTCCTTACAATACCAGGCTCGTATTGAAGAGCTTGAGGAAGAGCTGGAGGCTGAGAGAGCTGCTCGTGCCAAAGTTGAGAAACAGAGAGCTGATCTGTCCAGAGAACTGGAGGAGATCAGTGAGAGATTGGAGGAGGCTGGTGGAGCCACTGCAGCCCAGATTGAGATGAACAAGAAACGTGAAGCTGAGTTCCAGAAGCTGCGCAGAGACCTTGAAGAGTCCACTCTGCAACATGAGGCCACCGCTGCTACACTGAGGAAGAAACATGCCGACAGTGTAGCTGATCTGGGAGAGCAGATTGACAACCTTCAGAGAGTGAAGCAGAAGCTGGAGAAAGAGAAGAGTGAACTCAGACTGGAACTGGACGACGTGGTCTCCAACATGGAGCAGATTGCCAAGGCCAAGGTGATGATTTCTTTCCATGTTTTCTTGTGTTGTCAGCTTTATACATCCACTGTGCTGCTTCAATGTTGTTCAATTGAATGTCTATACAGGCAAACTTGGAGAAAATGTGCAGGACCCTCGAGGACCAGATGTCAGAATATAGAACAAAATATGAAGAAGGACAACGCAGCATCAATGACTTAACCATGCAAAAAGCTAGGTTGCAAACAGAAAATGGTATGTACTCTGATAGGCTATTACTTCAGTTGTTTTTTTTAGACATATTCCTAAGATCACACACTACTTTCTGTAATGTAATGGTTATACTTCTATCTAGGGGAGCTTTCTAGACAGCTGGAAGAGAAAGATTCCTTGGTCTCTCAGCTAACAAGAGGCAAGCAGTCCTACACTCAGCAGATTGAGGACCTCAAACGACAACTAGAGGAGGAAATTAAGGTATTTAATTTTTTCAAAGAATGTATTATATGTGCATGTAATCATTTATCCAAAGCAACTTTCAAATGATGGCAACAGAAGCAATCAAAACAACAAAAGAGCAACAATATATAAGTGTTGTGACAAATCCCAGATAGTCTAATACAGTACAAGTAGCAAGGTTTTTCTTTATTTTTATAATAAATAAAAATAAAAAGTAGATAGAATAGTTAGAGCTAGTGTTAATGGGTGAAGTTATTATTTTTTTTATAATAATTAAAAACAAGTAGATAGAATAGAATAAGAACAGAGAACGCTAGTGTTAGAGGGTCAAGTTGAATTTCCATTGCATTTCTATGTATACTGTTAACTATACATTTTCAATGTTCATAGGCTAAGAATGCCCTGGCTCATGCAGTTCAGTCTGCTCGTCATGATGCTGATCTGCTGAGGGAACAGTATGAGGAGGAACAAGAAGCCAAAGCTGAGCTGCAGCGTAGTCTGTCTAAGGCAAACTCTGAGGTGGCTCAGTGGAGAACCAAGTATGAAACGGATGCCATCCAGAGGACTGAGGAGCTGGAGGATGCTAAGTATGAAACAAGAAATATAGTATTTCATATAGTTCGATTGATCTATACAAATCTTGATCTTATTGAAAGACAAAAGCCTCACTAAGTTGTTTTGGAACTATTTCTGTTTATTCATATGGATCATTTGGAGACCATGAAGAGAGAAAACAAGAACCTCCAAGGTGCCCTTTGTTTATTAGTCATCTAAGAATTCACATATCACGAAATGTAAATATTTCTCTTTGCTTTTTATGCATTAACCTATATTACCTTCCCTAAAAAACAGAGGAGATTGCTGATCTCACTGAACAAATTGGTGAGAGTGGAAAGAACATTCATGAACTAGAGAAAATTCGTAAGCAGTTGGAGCAGGAAAAAGCTGAAATTCAAACTGCTCTGGAGGAAGCTGAGGTATATCTAGATATCTAATTGTTGATATTTTTAGTGGTTTTTGTGTATTAATTCAAAAGAAAACAATAATGGGTATTCTAATAGAAGTGAACATGCTTTTTAATAACTAAGTTAACTGATCTGTCAGGGCTCCCTGGAGCATGAAGAAGGAAAGATTCTTAGAGCTCAACTGGAGTTCAGCCAGATCAAAGCTGACATTGAACGTAAGCTGTCTGAGAAAGATGAAGAGATGGAACAGACCAAGAGGAACCAGCAGAGAATGATTGATACCCTGCAGAGCTCACTGGAATCAGAGACTCGCAGCAGGAATGAAGCTCTCAGACTGAAGAAGAAGATGGAGGGAGACCTCAATGAGATGGAGATTCAGCTCAGCCAGGCTAACAGACAGGCTTCAGAAGCCCAGAAGCAACTCAAGGGTCTTCATGGACATCTCAAAGTATGCTAGTTTTTTTTTTTCACCAAAAATTTGTAATGCAAAAGTGAAATCTTATAAAGTTCTGCAGTCTTTTAATTTATAAAAAATTATATTTTACAGGATGTCCAAATGCAGCTGGATGACGCTCTGCGCAGTAATGATGATTTCAAAGAGAACATCGCCATTGTGGAGAGACGCAACAATCTGCTGCAGGCTGAACTGGATGAGCTGAGATCCCTGGTGGAACAGACTGAGAGAGGAAGGAAACTGGCTGAGCAGGAACTGCTGGACGTCAGTGAGAGAGTCCAGCTCCTGCATTCTCAGGTATGACACCTCTGTACTAGACAAACACAAGTAACAACCCTCACAATATCATCTAGAAACTATATGAATGTAAATATTGTCTGTTTAGAACACCAGTCTGCTGAATCAGAAGAAGAAGCTGGAGGGAGATAATACTCAGCTTCAGACTGAGGTTGAGGAGGCAGTGCAGGAGTGCAGGAATGCTGAGGAGAAAGCCAAGAAGGCTATCACTGATGCTGCCATGATGGCAGAGGAGCTGAAGAAGGAGCAGGACACCAGCGCTCATCTGGAACGCATGAAGAAGAACATGGAGCAAACCATCAAGGACCTGCAGCACCGTCTGGATGAAGCTGAGCAGATCGCCATGAAGGGAGGCAAGAAGCAGGTCCAGAAACTGGAAGCCAGGGTTAGTTTATCAAACTCAGGTCTTAACAATGCATTTTCTTTTCACACATCTTGTATGTTTGTTATTATTTATGAATATATGTACTCAGAGCTTCAGAATTGGTCAGTTTGAAATTATTTTGGATTTCTCTAGGTGAGAGAGCTGGAAAATGAGGTGGAGATAGAACAGAGAAAGGCGAGCGAGTCTGTGAAAGGAGTTCGTAAATATGAGAGGCGCATCAAGGAGCTCACCTACCAGGTCACTTTCTCTGATATATAAATTTCTTTTTATTCATGCAAAGATTTTATGAAACAACACAAATAGTGACAAAGTCAATTTATGCCCTATGACTACATATACAGACTGAGGAGGACCGTAAGAATCTGGCACGTCTTCAGGACCTGGTGGACAAACTCCAGCTGAAGGTCAAGTCCTACAAGAGAGCTGCTGAGGAGGCGGTATGTTAAAGTTAATTTCAGTAACAATGTATGCATTTATTGAAATCTAAAGACATTTTAATCATGCTTATGTTTTTAAAAAAAACTAGCGATGTCAGAAGAATTTACTAAATTTGTATATTTATCTTAATCTGGAGACTAAAAAAAACTCAACATATGCCTAGTCCCCCAGCTGAGTCTGGCTCCTCAGTGTTTTTCCCTTCACTTCCTAAACAGCTTATGAAGTTTTCTTTCTAAGATAAAGTTACATTTTGCTTGCTCACTGTAAGCTTTCATATAGCTTAAGCATGATTGCCATGATTTTCTGGGTTGAATCAATTTGGATTGTGATTAAATTAAAATAAAAATGTGACTTGATTGCTTGGCATAGAATTGCTTGAAAAAATATTTCCATGTGTTTTCAGGAGGAGCAGGCCAATTCCAATCTGGGCAAGTTCCGTAAGCTTCAGCATGAGCTGGATGAAGCAGAGGAGAGGGCTGATATTGCTGAATCTCAGGTCAACAAGCTGAGAGCCAAGAGCAGAGACACTAGCGCTAAGGTAAGTGTTTGTTTTCAGCATACAAATGTTAAATGATTTGGCAGATGTGATGCATATATCTTTTACTGAAAGTAAACTCTAAAGCAAACTAAAGGAACTATTTGACTGTGTCAACCTACACGTAAATGTTTCAATAACTTTTGTGGAAAACAATATTCTGTTGCCACAAAAGCCTTGATAAGCAGAGCTAATGGCAACTCCATTGAGAAATATGTTAGTGCAATTAAATTTGGCAAGAAAACATTACTAAACAACTATTTTCATGGGCAAAATGTATTACATTTTTTTAACAAGACAGATTAATCTTACGTCTTTTTTCTCCCTTGAACAGAAAGGACATGATGAGGAATGAAGCTCTGCCATCTCTCAAAATCTGTTGTGTCTCTTTGAATCCATTAGTCTCTAGATCAATAGAATAAAGCAAATGTGCAGATGAAACTTTTGCCACATTGTGTTATTTAAAAACTAAATTGGCATCGTCACAAGAGGTATAAACTGTGTGCTTTACATAACGAAGTCAAATCAAAGAGCCCAAATACTTGCTAAAAGCTTTTTGATCAGGCATTAGCTGACTACTACAAAAATCTAATTTTGTCAAGATTTGGTGTTCTGGTTCATGTAGTCACGAGCAATAATGGATAAACAAAACATTCTGCAATAAAATCCACATCAATGGCAATGAAATCCACAATAATTCATATAATTCTCCCAAAACAAAGAACCATTAACTCATTAACTCAAAGGTTAACTTACCTTTTCTAATCGTCACAAATAAAAACCAAAAAATTCTAGGAGCAAAAATGTTTCAGATGAGTGAACTGTCCGGTACAGAACTACTCAATGGGTAGGCCGGATACAGTATGACAAGTGCCTGTTGTTGCTCAAGGTGATGCAGTGGCTCCAACAGATGTGTTGTATAAAGGAGGAGTCGGGGAAGGGAGGGGGTTACTCAACACTTGAGAGGATGAAGAAAGAGTAGTAATTTTAACACTTGTCACTTGTGCTATATTAAGAGTTCCATAAAGCTTAGCACATACTATACATAAGAGGAGCCGCTGACGCACATGATGTAGAACATCTTTAGGCAGTAAAAGAGGTTTTAAGGATGTAAAGACTTGAACACAGATGCTTGACAATGACAATTTTCAATAAATTGGAGCCAATTTGTGCATTAACATTGTTGAATTAGAGGTAGACTTGGCTCTTAAAAGGTCAAGGTGGTTAAACAATATGCCAAGTACGGCATTGAGGAGGCATTGTTCTCCCTCGATAGGTCATGTAACTTAAGTACTAAGAGTTCCAGTAATGGACGTCTACAGATGAGATATGCCCTACATACTGTGTCTCAAAGCATGACAACAACCCTTGCTGATCTCTTCAATCATAGAGGGGCTCAAAGGAATTTAACAGGTTATCTTTGTCCTCAAGGCTAAAGTAAAGGAAACAATGCCATGTAAACAAGACAACTTGAAGGGTGACCCACGGTCAGCTCTCTGAGGGACAGTAACAGACATCAACCACGTGAACCAGTGCTCTGAAGCATATGGGGGGCTATTTGTAAACTTTTCAGCATGGGTACACATGCAGCAGATGCACAATGCATTTAGACTTATACTGGTTAGAGTTCCTTTTTGTTTCCACTGCATACTGAAGTGATGAGCTTGGTCTAGTCTATTATGATAATGTGCAGACGATCATGACAACTGCAGTGTACAGCCACCAGAGGGTGTCATTTTGGTGATCAACTGTTCAAACTGTTAAGCATTATACAATGCTTTCAAAAAGTGAGACCAGTAGTTAATGCAAATTTTATATTCTTCTAAATACATTTTGGTGTTAAATACAAGTGGTATAATCAGCATAACAATTGTGAACAAATTGCAGAAGTGGCAAACGTGAAGTGAAATGCAAAACCCGATGATCTTTTTATCCAGAATGATTTGAGAATGTTCCAAAGAGCACCTTGTGATTCAGTTTACACAGAAACTATATGCATGATCAATGTCACATTTACTGTAGTGGCCAAGAAGTAGTCTGAAACATTTTCTCATTCAGCTTTGTTTCAAATTTTTCAAAAATTCTAAAACTTTTTTTTGTCCATGTTTAAATTAGATTTTCAAACACTGATTTTCAAATGTGGTCTCAAAATTTAGAAAAAGTGTTATTTTACCACCACTGAGAAACTATTATAGTTTTAACTATTATTATTAATATTATTTTACATTTTAAATGTAGCTAGTTTTAGCAATTATTTTTGTGAGTTTAAATGTCTATATATTTTATTTAGTTATTTTAGTACATCATTAAATTAAATTAAATTAAAATGAGAAATGTTGCCTTGACACCTAGTTGAAATAAAATAATTTTACATTTTGTAATATTTTATGCCAGTTAGTTTTTATTTTATTTCAAGTAACACTTTTTTATGGTTTTAGTTTTAGTCGTGGCCTAATGGTTAGAGAGTCGGAGAGTATGGGTCACCATACTTGGCCACGTCACGTCACGTCACTTCACTTCATAAAGGTAAAGATTTAAAGTGACAATGAATTAGAATCATATCTGTTGGCTCAATCTGACAAGCAATGTCTTTTCCTTGTCACTGTTGAATGTGCTGCAGTTTACGGTTTAAGAATTACACTTACTCCAGCCTTTTAATAAAATTATTAGTAGCAAAACTGCTCAGAAGCAGCAGAAGACAAAAAGTCGAGACACATTAGACTCCTATGTAACCCAACAGATGCAAGACCATTCTATTCCAATGACAAAAGGAAGCTCCGATTACAAATTAGCCATAAGGTGCCACCGTTTCTTCCATTCTTACTCCCGAGTGCTGATAAACAAGGATGAGTAGACAGCTGAGAATGAGGTGCTGTAAAGGATGAGGGGCCTAGAATAGATTGCAAAAGTGTTAAGACTAAGTAAGGTGCTTGTTAGGAGGGTGCAGAATAACTGAGGGACGAGAGGTCAAGGCAGGCTCATATCCTCACAAAAGGTCTTGAGTAATGGCTCGCGCGGCTCCCCTACAAATCAACACTGTAGAGTTCACAATACAGCAATGCTGTTTAGAAAGTGATTTGCAGTTAAGGTGGTTAGTTTGACCTGCTCATCATGATCTTTCTGGAATAATAAAAACGAACAAGCACCTCAATGTTACTTGCACGACTGCTGCATTCACAATATATTCACTTCTGTAAACATACAAACTGCATTTTGTATCTTACAGAATCCTTTTGTTTTGGGAATCTTTCAAGAGCTGGAAGATTCTTGAAGAACAAATGGATGAACATGAATGAAGCTGTTGTTCGTTTGAATGACTGCACTTGAACTTGGTACAAACTGTAAACCACAAGTGATGGATATATCAACTGCGTAGTCAAGAAAGGTCACAGCTACAAACAAGAACAAGCAAGAGTCGCAGCTGTCTCTGCATTAGGAGAGATCAAAAGGTCACAAATATCCATTGTTGCCGTTACAGCTGTCTACTGACAATTTTACTGCTCCCCGACAGTCATCTTGCTAGTGAGGCATTGTTACCTTGTCTTTATCCTTGAGCACAAAGATAAACCTGTGAAATTCCCAGTGCATGCCTTTCTCTCTTTGAGGACAGAAAATGACACAGTTATAGAAAAGCATCCTGGTGCAGCTGAAGCATATCATGTGTACGTGGGCAAGAAATATTTGCACTATCCATAATGTGAGACAAAGCATTGTCTGCACTGCAGGCAGTTGTTGCAGGAATCTGTTAATTAAGCAATGTATGATTATGATTTGATTTAAAAAAAAAAAAAGATTGTGTGCAGCAAGTTTAACTATGGTGCACTACACACAAGAGTTTCCACACCTGTAATGTTTTGTGCACATAAAAAATTCAGAGATGTTGTAAATTTGGCACTACAAATGGAACTACAAAAATGGAACTAACTACAAATTATGACGTGATATGTGCAAATTTAACTATTAAGAAAAACTTTTGTAAAGATTTGATATCTTGAAAAAATAACATACATATGGGACAAAAATAGCACCATTGTGATTTAGATCCTTTCTGATCTTTCATGTTTCGCCACACCACATGCTAAACTGCTGTGACTGACACAAACATTTTTTTCAGGCACCCAAAAAAAGCTACACACACAAGTGACCCAGACCAAATACAGAGTCAACGTCACAGTCATTGTGCCTCTATATAAAGCGATACGTTACAACACAATGGTTCAAGCTCACATCATTGTACCACCTAAAGGTAAGATGGTTTGTGTTTGTAAATATAAAATCTTTGCGATACAGCTGCACAAATAATTTAGATTAAGTTGTTAATGAGGACTGAACAATAGAATAGGATGAATTTTTATTAATGATGCTTATTTTTCATTGCAAGGACTTGGACTTGTCTTGGATTTTGTCTGGTAAGGCATGCTTTTATAAAGGTCCACACGTTTTTATCCAATATTTTCATTTTGTAGCTTTTTAACTGACAGATCAATTGATGATTAGAAATATTAGGTATAGCTCATGATGATAATTGTTACCTTTATTTGTATGCACTAATGTAGATTAAATATTTATATAAGATTATATATATATTTTTTATTCTAAACAAGTTTTGTAAGTTCAGAGAATCTTGTCTTCTTTGCCTCAGTCTGACTGGAAGATGGGGGATGCTGTAATGGCAGAGTTTGGACCTGCTGCTCCGTTCTTACGGAAGTCAGACAAGGAGCGTCTGGAGGCCCAGACTCGGCTCTTCGACATGAAGAAGGAATGCTTTGTGCCCGACCCTGAGGTCGAGTACGTCAAAGCCTCCATCACCAGTAGAGACGGTGACAAAGCCACTGTTAACACTGAATTTGGCAAGGTATGGTTTAATCTCTGTATTGTTTGTATACAGTAATGGTGTCAATGTAGAGTACCAACAGAAGTTCTTTAGATTTGAGGTGTGAAACATCTTTTGTATGATTCCCACAGACAGTAACTGTGAAAGAAGCTGATATTCATCCTCAGAACCCGCCAAAGTTTGATAAAATTGAGGACATGGCGATGTTCACCTTCCTGCACGAGCCCGCTGTGCTGTTTAACCTCAAAGAGCGTTACGCAGCCTGGATGATCTACGTGAGTCTTAAAACACTCACACATTCACTTTATCACGTATGAGCAGATCTGAAGCTGCTGTCAATCTCTTACAGACCTACTCTGGGCTCTTCTGTGTCACTGTGAACCCCTACAAGTGGCTGCCAGTGTACAACCAGGAAGTCGTCGTTGCCTACAGAGGAAAGAAACGAACTGAGGCTCCTCCTCACATCTTCTCCATCTCTGACAACGCCTACCAGTACATGCTGTCAGGTGATGACTTGTAGCATTTATTTATGTTGTTTGTTTTGGGAGATTTATATTGCAATGTGTAAATAAATTTAAAATGCCAACTTTCTTGTTTTTTTCTTTCTCACAGACAGAGAAAACCAGTCTGT